ATCGAGCATGAGCCTCCTCATGTAATCGGAGGAGCACTTTTCGCCCGTACGTAGACATTGCCATTCACAGCGAGCACAGCACCTGAACAGAATGACACGGGAATTGATTCGATGAAACCGCAAGAGAGTGCTTCATTAGATGAAGGATGCATTCCGCGCAGGCGGCTAGAAAAGCGTCCACAACGAAGGACACCCTGAAGCATTCCTACCGACGTTCCAGGCGCTGTACGCTGTGGACGCCGTAAAACGATTGGCCTGCATCGTCATCTTATGTGATGATCACGATGGACATCGCTAGAAGCACCGACAGGAATGCAAGGGAGGTGCTGAGAGATAGATGCTTCGTTTCTCGGAAACGTGGGGGTACTTCTGGTGGGCGACTGAGATAGCACCCGCGTGGAGAACTCCCTGAAGCACTCCTGCCGACAAGTCTAGCGCTGTCTGACGTAGCTGCCGGTGACTATCGTCGTCGCCGTTACAGACAATGACAGCGGGCAACCGTAACTTGCTCTAGCCTTCCAGGGCTCATGATTGAGAATGGAAAGAAGACACTCACCAGGCTTCAACATGTACCAGAACAACCATAACGCCAGCGCAGAGCGTTCGTCGTTTGGTGGCCAAAGGTCATCCTTGACCGATAATGCGGCGAGCGAAGCACCCTCGGGATGGAAGAGGAAGTCCTTGAGCCAGCCGTCGAAGCCAGCATAGTCTCGAAGTTGCTTGTCGTTCTTCCCCTCGTTTTCCAGCATCATCAGATAGGCCATCCAGAGGATCGACCGGAGAGCATCGCGATGTGTCGGGCTGATGGTCAAGGAACCCGCATGACAGTCCGTTCGTCGACGGATGCGGCTCAACAGCGTGCAGCGTAGCTTGAACTCTTCGCAAATCTCGGGCGGTCCTATCTCCCTGTCCCTTGCCGCCAACCTCGATATTGGGCTCGACAGGTCAAATTTGTATGCGAAGATGCGCGACCAGAGGAAGGGATTGGATGACATGGAGAGTGCATCGTGCGTTCGGCGGTCGACGCTGAGGAGCGGGATGATTTCGTCGGGTGGTCCGAGGAAGTCGCTGGTGGCAGTGAAGAAAGCGATGTGCTCAAGGACTTCTTGGGGTATGCTGGAGAAGCTGGCCATTGTCGTGGTCGTCGTGGTCGCCGTCAGAGATGGTGTGCGCGCTTTCCGGAAACGCGTGGAGGTCGTGGAGAACAGCGAGCTGGGCCGTGAGAATACCGTCGGAGATCTAATCGGGTAGCCAATCGTGGCTCTACCATTTCCGGTAAGTCATCATCGCAAATGACCACATGCGTCTCAGACAAACGGGGCGCTTGTATTCGCAATGCGCAACGATATCGACATAAGTACAAAGTTTCGCCTGGCGAAAAGAGTCAAGGAAATAGGTGCATGTTGGTTTCCCTCGTTCGAGGTACTTATCCCGAGGACCACGTAAAGGTCTGCACCAGGACGGACCACGAGCCTCGAGGGCCCCCAGCCCGCCCTCCCTCGGGAATACGTACCTATGCCCCACCGCCCGGCAGCCCTGTAAACGTCAGTAACCCCCAACTGCGACTACCCCGTGGTAAAGCGTCCAAGGACGCATAAAATCAGAAACCGCCAAGATGCACGCCCGCTGGCGCGTAAAAGAGCAGAGACTGCACCAAACCGGAGAGTGATCTCGACCGACCCACGTACTTGTCCTTGCGGTCGTTCCGCGGCGTCGGCCATCCGAAAAAGAAAGTGATCCCGGGCACGCCCCACGTACTCGTCCTTGCGGTCTTTCCGCAGGCAACGGCCATCCGCAAAAAGGAAATGATCTTGGCATCCGCCCCGTACTCGTCCTTGCGGTCTTTCCGGGGCGTAGCCGTCCGAAAGAAGGAAGGGGTGAAGGCAGCCCGTTGGCGCCGTAGAAGAGACTGAAGCGAGCGACGGTGCGCTATGAAGCCAGCTAGAGGGGAAGAAGGCGTCAGTAGACCGTACCAGGCGGCGGGGCTCCCCGATGGTCTTCGCTGTCGACCAGCCTGAAGAGATAAATGTCGCCGTCGAAGCTAGACCAGATCCAAGAACCCAGAGAACCCAGTGTCGCCGGCGGGAGAGGGACAAGATGGCGGTAGGAAGCTGAGTTGGAACGAGCGCAGTGACGGTTTACTTATCGACTTCCGGTGTGGCTAGCATGTTAGCCTCCCTTCGCCCCAGCATGCACAAATAACATGTCCGGCTGGCGTCCGCCGATGGTCCCCTCCGCACGTGGCCAATGGCATTTTGGCGTGCAAGTTTGGCTTGGAGGCTGGTTTGTTTGTCCGTCGACGTCAGCGATCTTCGGCAGGCTCAGCGTACTTCGGCAACGGACCCTGTGCCGGGTCAATGCACGTGTTACTTGACAGTCGACTGCAGCTCAGTCCGTGAGTCGATAACTTAAAGGTAGAGACCATCAGGGTCTTGGCGTGGACGCTGCGCTGTGGACTGAAATTTTAACTTGCTTTGTCTTGTAAAACGGTCAGTATAACAGGATACGCGAAGGGAATCTCAAACTGTACCTTCAACAACGCGAACTCGAGCAAGGGACAGCACAACCAACTCGGTACGATCTGCCCCCATGTCGAGTCTGTGGAGGGCCTTCCGACAGTCTGCAGGATCAAGCTTGTCAGGCTGATACTTAAGCTTGAGTAACGAGTGCAAGCCATCGCGATTGCGGACACTTGCAAATGGGTATTAGAATACAGGCAGAAAACCTCGAACGGCCCAATGATTGCTCGACGCAAATCACAAATGCTCCGCATACATCTGCGTACAACCTAGTGCAACCCGTGCGTCCAAGCACAGAGGTCGAGGGCCGAACGCGAGTTGCAGTCCTCTGCATGTAATGATGGTACAGTTCGGTTTACGTACCAGCGAAGATGGCAGATCACAGCTTGGCCTTGTGTTCGGTGCGCGTCCGTGTAGCCACACAGCCATGAGCACGAGCGTAGATCCAAGTAGAACATAGTATGTGAGACAGCCATGAGCCCAAGCGATAAATACAGCACATCGATAGAAGCACAGTAACACCACACACACAGCACAGCAACCCGAGCCCTCCACCCGGGCAGTGCAGTCTGGTCATGGCGCATACGGCGGCGGGACCGAGCTCATGCTAAGGTCCGACACGCCCGCCTCTGGGGAGCGCGGGGCCTCGAGGCGCGCTTCAGCAGCTTTCCTCGCCGCTCCTGAAAGAGGCACAGAGGCGAGAATGGGAGCCAGTGATGAGGAGGAGGGCTCGGCCACAACGGACTGCGACTGCGAGTACTGAGAACCGGATTGCGACGCGGAGTGTTGGGACTGAGGGGCCAGAGAGACGGAGTACTGGGACTGGGATTGGGACTGGGACTGTTGTCGTGACTGTGCCAAGGACGCTTTGGAGCTGACGGGCGCGGGCGCGGGGGAGTATTGGGGAGATATCGGGGGCAGACTGGGGCGGTGGCCAGTCGTTGTCGACATTATGGGCGCGACTGCGTCTGAGTAGGGCGACTCGTACATCTCACTGTGCGTGTGCGAGCTGGATGCGTCGGGGGCGTGGTACGGGTAGGCGTCGATATGTGGGTCTGGACCGTCTGTGGCGACGCAGAGTGAGTGGCACGATGCACAGGAGGTATACGGATAAGTCTCGCGTACCGAATTGTCCTGTCTTCACATACGCGTACGTCGACTGGTCGTACGTCCTGTTCTTCTTCCACAGCCACCATGCCCCAATCGCGATAGCGGACAGCAAGACCACTCCCCCTATCACCCCTCCCACAATCGCACCTGTTGGAGCATTTGACCTTGACGCGCCCTGAGTGTGAAGAGCAATATCCGAGCCAGAAGGACTTGCAGAAGAGCTCGTGTGGGAGGAAGAACTTGTCGTCGAGGATGAAGAAGAGGTACTCGATGCAGGTGGGTCTGTCGTGTCAATGGCAAGGTAATCGAACAGGTAGGGGGCATTGTCGGTCGCGGTCGTGACATTAACCGTGAGGGTGTGGAAGCCAAAGGGGAAGTACTCGGATGTGTAGAACTTGGCTCCCGTGAGTATTCGCGTGGTATTTGGCACGGAGGACGTGTTGAACCCCGTTCCGTCGACGGCGTACTGCGCGGCCGGTAGCGGTCCAGAGATGTACGGGATGACGACGCCAAACACTGTTATACGCGTGCCTGTACGATGTAGGACACAGCGCGGACCCACACCGAGAAGTCTGATTAGCAGGGTTCCAAACTTCTTCCAGACGCGCGCAACAGGCTGTGCCCAAAGGGAGCGCACGACCGAAGCGCACTAAAGACAACGAGACAAGACGTACCCTGAAATCGATACGAGAAGCTCCACCGCGGGGTTGTGATATCCGCAAGACTCTGGTTGTACGCGGACAGCTGGGCCGTCTGGACGTAGTCGTATGCCTCCGTAGAGATCTGGTCTGTCACGTTGACATACTGGGGGTTGACGTAGAACGGGATGTCCGGGCTGTTGTTGTCCACGATCGTTGGGTCCGTCGACATCAGCGTCCGAGGAGCTGGGGCGGCGTCAAGTCAAGGAGGGTGAAGTGAACCCGTCGCCGAGGACGGGTGAGGAGGATCAGCGAAGAAGGGAGGAACAAGGGAGAGATGGCACGTAGACCAGGCGCAGACCGCGCATACTTACCGAGCGCTGATCACTGTCAGGCCTCTCGACCACGACCCGCGTTGCACCGGAATCCGATACTTACATACATACAGCGGCAGCACGCGCGACGGTGCAAATTGGAATTCGCCGCATTCGTGATAGACTAGCCAAAGACAGCACAGGAACAGAGAGGAACCCGCCTCCTGTCAGACCGGGTAACGGCCCTGCACAGCCGCGGAAATATAGTTGCGTGAACTGATTCTGAAAAGCACTGTCTATCCCTGCATTGGCCTGCATTGGCTCCCGATCTGCATGACACACATATGATTCCTAGTCTGCATGTTGTCTGTGAGGAGAGAACATTATATCTAAAAATTGTCAGGATTCAAGTGATGTCCTGGACATGTCCGGGATTGAACCGGACCCCTCTCGCAAGCCATATAATGTATGCTAAGCGAGCGTGATAACCAACTACACCACATGCCCGTGGTAATAGATATCGTTGTTTGTTTATGATCGCGTCAACGCTGGACTCTACCCAATCAGCCAATGCAGACGCTTAGGTTGAAGTTCGCTCGAGTCGTTGGCAATGACAGAATGAAGGTCCGTACGGCTGTCTATGTCTAACATCTATCTCTAGAACTTCTTGCATCGTTAACCGCATAGCGGTGCTGAACCGTAGACACATGCTTGATCCTTTGGCGCAACCTCCGTTCACGGCGATGACCTGATATAAAATATGCGTGGCTATCTGTACGATACCATAACCCGAAGCCCAGCCTGCATCCAACACAGGGCCTCCTCGCGATTGCAACAGACACAGATAGCAATAGAATAGCGGATCCATACGGTAGAGTCCCAGGGGTGTATCCAAACGAGGGTCCCAGTCGGCAAATAGCAGACACGAGGACGCCTCCGGTAAATAAGTGTAGGGCGTGCGCAGGTCGTAACATCATGATAAGTGGACGGGGGCGTATGCGCGCGAACCGTCAACGCAGCTCCTTGGGCCACTCGCTCCTGGGAAGCCACCGCCCTTCGGCGTCGAAGCGCGGGTTCACGACGTAGTTCAGTCCGTCGTCTGGGCTCTTCCCGATCGGCACTGCGTCATATGTCAGCCTCCTGTGAACTCGGGACTGAAGACCACAGATACCAGGGAGAGAAGGACGGAAGGATAGAGGGGAGGAAGGAAAGGACTCACAGAACCACATCCACACCTTGTCGCCCATCGTCGCGTCCCAGTTCTTGCGCGCGCTCCCGAGCCACCATATATGGCCCTCCTTGCCTATCCGGCCCCACTCCGCGTTCCACTCCTTTAAGGTCGCCCTTCTCGCCCTGCCGTCGGCGTCAGCATGTTCGTGTGCGGGCACATACAGATGCCGAAGGCAAGGCGGTAGAGAGGAGGGGAAAACGTACCGTAATTCCCACCGAGCATGCAACCTTCCGAGCACACGCTCTTCGCGCTCGCGCATCCGCCGTACGGCGAGCTGCTCTACGGTCGTCATGTTGCTGCAGATCATAATGACGTGCGTGACGAGCAGCGCTACGGTGAACACCGCGAAGAACCCCGAGCTGTGTATGCGTACAAATCGTCAACACGCCATTCGGTAAGGCAGAAGGGGGTACGGTGAAGGCTCACAGGACGATGATGGCAACGTGCTGGCCATCGACTTCGTAGTTTGGTCGGACGATCGAGGCATGTGCGTTCGGCCCGACAAGTGTCGCGAACGTCCATAAGCAGAAGAGGAGCGCCCATATGACGAAGATCAGGAAGAACTGCAGAGATCATGAGCATGCGGCTAGTAACTTGCAGTCGCGTATGTCCGCTCACTCTGTGATTCCGCGCTCCTATACACTGTCCTACCCACGGACAATGGTGGTCGTACTTCAGTACGCACTACGTCACGACATCATGAGTACCCAGGACGACTTGGCGGGGGTGGGGGTACGCACCGTTCCGCACGCTCGACAGTGGTGTGCGCGAGATGGCTTCTGGAACCCATCGCGGTAACAGTATCTGTACTCCGGGAGGAGTATCGGCGTCTTCGAGGGTGCACGCGTGTACATCATTGGTTTCTGCGATGGTGCGTTCGCCGTCCCTGGGAGCGGTTGTATATGTGACTGGTCTTGTGGCTGCGGAGGTGAACGGTGGTGTGTCGTTGCCTTCGCACGGGCCGCGGCGACTGGGGGGAGCGCATCCGTGGTTCCCGCGTTCTCATCCCCGGAAGGTGCTCGGGAGTGGTGGCCATTCTGCTGGGAGGGTCTCCGTTGGTGGTCGGTGCTCCTGCGCGGGTGGTGATGGTGCGGACGAGAGCCGTCCCTCGAGCGTTTGATTTCTGCAGGTGGCGGCGGTTGCGGCGGGTTCGATGACGCGTTGAAACGCGCCTGGGCGAGCTCGGCTTCGCTCTCGGTGTCCCACCAGGTCTGGTACCCGCGAGTTGCAGGGGCGGAGGACTTCTGCACATGCTAAAGGGTGTTGCGGTCAATGCGACGGAATCAGACGAGAGAGGGAGCGTACGCACATCTTTGGCTAGTCCAGGTGATGTGAAAACAACCTAGGTTTGACATATGTCAGGTATACAGCCGTTTTGAAATTCGTGAAGGTTGGCATGACGAAGAGGCAGAGAATAGTAGTACAGACATCGCCACGTCGAGCTCATGGGTACCTCAGTCTGCAGGCTCAGACGGGAATGTGCCTACTCGGTCGGTCGAGAGTGATGCGAGTGAAGACTCACCTTTTCATATGCCCAGATCATCACAAGTCCCAGTATACAGAAGACTACCAGGAATCCAACTAGTGCGGATAAATGGATCGTGGTAAGCGCACCGACCACAACAGAGGGAGCATAGAACTCACTGCCTAACCCTCGACTCCCCAACGCTCCCGTGTCGCGCCTGATCATCGGCACGCACAATCGTCCCACATAGACATACCACGCGTACCCGATGATTCCTAAGGTGATGAAGATGGCGAGCTTGCGTACAATCCACGGTTGGGGCTTGCTCCTGCGGGCTTCGCGCTTTTCCATGGCCTCCTCGACGATGCCCATGCATTTGTGTTCCGTCTCAGGTCGTGACGTGCCATTAGAGGCCATAGATTGGTATACAAGCGTGAGCCAGGGGAGGTGAGAAGGACGAAGAGGGGAGACGGGAGACGGTGAGGACGCGTGGGTGGCGGAGACTCGAGAGGAGCACGGCTGAGCGAGAGAGTTCGGAGAAAGATGAGATCATGAATGCGGGCCGTGTAGACGCCCATATAGCGCCTGACCATAATCTGATACGTAAGTATCTCTGTAGACCTGGTCGATCCATGCAAAGTCGACGCTGCTCTCCTCCACCATTCTTACGTCTTCCAACGGACATCCTCTCGGTAGTTTGGGCTGCGGACAATGCCACGTCGCCTCACGTCGAACTATCATTACATCCGCTGCTCCGTATCACCGGTCTGTACCGATGTCCTCGCAATTCGAAAATCAATGCAAGATGCGCTGGGGCAGTCCTTTGGTCTAGTCTCCTCACACACATATGTCGACTTGCTCTGGCTGGCGGAAGATGGGTCGGAGGTAGTGGTGCGGATTGGGCCCAGGTGCGCCTGCCCCAGATTCGTGAAAGGATGAATACTGACCGCTGCATTCAAAAAATCGCAGCGATGCACCAAAGCTGCTCGCTGCAATGACGGCCTGGACAGGTTCCCCGCGTCTTTCTTTAGTCAAGGAATCCAGCTTTTTGCCATCCCTACTGTCTGTCGAGACGCCCTCATGAATGATACTGCTTGCAAACATACGCTCGTTCACCGAGATGGTTCAAATGTCTTTGCGAACGGTGAGAAGTCTAACGTTGTCCAGACCGAAGACGAATAGTCTGCACGGTGATGATGCAGCGGGAATAATCTGCAAGTTATGTAGCCTCCTGCCCTTGCCCAGACAGTGAAGCGGTCATCGTGCCCAGGTCTGTTCTCCTCGGTGACCGCGACTCGCAGGCCTCCCATCAGCTTTCAGCGTACGCCTGAGGGGTGCAGCATCGTACTGACAGCTACTTTGCCTCATGTCCTCGACTGGATCGGCCATGACGTAGCCGAACGTTCCCAGACCTACGTTGCCGAAGTACGTTGAGCCTGCCGAAGATCGCTGACGTCGACGGACAAACAAACCAGCCTCCGAGCCAAACTTGCACGCCAAGATGCCATTGGCCACATCCAACGAACACCAATGGTGGACGCCAGCCGAACATGTTATTTGTGCGTGTTAGGTCGAAGGGAGGCTAACATGCCAGCCTCACCGGAAGTCGATAAGTAAACCGTCACTGCGCTCGTTCCGACTCAGCTTCCTACCGCCATCCTCTCCCTCTCCCGCTGGCGACACTGGGGTCTCTGGGTTCTTGGATCTGGTCTAGCTTCGACGGCGACATGTATCTCTCCAAGCTGGTCGACAGCGAAAACCATCGGGGAGCCCCGCCGCCTGGTACGGTCTACTGACACCTTCTTCCCCTCTAGCTAGCTTCATAGCGCACCGTCGCTCGCTTCAGTCTCTTCTACGGCGCCAACGGGCCGCCTTCACCCCTTCCTTTTTGCGGATGGCTACGCCCCGGAAAGACCGCAAGGACGAGTACGGGGCGGATGCCAAGATCATTTCCTTTTTGCGGATGGCCGTTGCCTGCGGAAAGACCGCAAGGACGAGTACGTGGGGCGTGCCCGGGATCACTTTCTTTTTCGGATGGCCGACGCCGCGGAACGACCGCAAGGACAAGTACGTGGGTCGGTCGAGATCACTCTCCGGTTTCGTGCAGTCTCTGCTCTTTTACGCGCCAGCGGGCGTGCATCTTGGCGGTTTCTGATTTTATGCGTCCTCGGACGCTTCACCACGGGGTATTAGGAGTTGGGGGTTACTGACGTTTACAGGGCTGCGAGGCGGCGGGGCCTAGGTACGTATTCCCGAGGGAGGGCGGGCTGGGGGCTCTCGAGGCTCGTGGTCCGTCCTGGTGCAGACCTTTACGTGGTCCTCGGGATAAGTACCTCGAAAGAGGGAAACCAACATGCACCTGAATTCTCTTTACGTCCTCATCTTTCAGTCTTCGTGAATGTGGGTACCGCTATGCACTTTAGCTAGGTCGAAGTCATTGTGCCAGCGCTGCCCTCCTCGAGCGGCGTTAAATGAAGTCATCGTTCTTGAGTGCCCCGTTGTGGACGAAGCATGGCACGACGCGGATAGACCACGTTCATATTTGGGTCACACGCACACATGGTTATTCCGTCGCACGAAGATGGGGCCGAAGCCCTATATATTGCGTAGCCCGAGGAGCGCAGTACATATGTAGGATCCACCGGCCTCAAGCCGACAGATAATCCATGCGTAATATCGTGTTCGGGCACCGCCTCCGTGTTTTGCGTTCGTAACTGCGCCATGCTGCGTTTACGCGTAGACGTGCACACCCGCGATGTCCCAGAACGCGTCGTTGAAAGCGCTCGGGTTCTGGTTGACGAAGGCTGTGTA